GAAAGTCTTCTGATGTCTCGGTGTAGAAGGCTATCATGTAACATTCAGATAGATTAGAATGTGATCTTTAATACTAACAGAAATGTAGACTTTATAAAAGAGTTTTGTTATTTTCAATAATTTAGTAATTTAAATTTTAATGATTAAGTTTGTAAATATAAATGTATAATTTATAAGGGGTCTGGATAACAAGGTAGTCTAGTTTCCGTTCCGCACATGCCCTAAGTTGGGGGCAGTCGATTTCATTTTAGAAAAGTGTGATTAATGCTGTCTGGAATGTGAAACGAAGTGTCTCTTTTTTGGCCACCCCTGTCTAGTTTTTCACTTCTACTTGATTCCATTATTAAGCGGGATTTTTGTCTACTGATTTTTGTTTACTGAATTTGAGCTTCTGGTCCTTTTCCTAATGTACAAAAAGAGGGCAGCCAATAATCATTAATTTGGAGGAACTCGAATCCAGTAGTAATATTCACTTTGAGAAAAACCGTGACGATAATAAAATCACTTAATCAATTGTATAAACTGATTGAATTCCTGCTTAGCAAATGCGCGCCACATATTCCAGCAGTGGGAATTGAATGAAGTCCATTTTCAGGAGTCATTGCTACGTCTTTTGCTGGAACCGTGTGACAGGTGAAATGTGGAATTGGCGCCCTATTCCGCCCTCTGCCACCGACTTAAGGCCGATGTCATAGTTTGCGAATCGAGCGATTCGCTAGCGAATCGCTCGATCCGAGCGTTGCGCCAGCGAATCGAACGTTGCACCAGCGAATCGAACTTTGCGCCAGCGAGTCGAACGATGCACCAGCGAGTAGAACTATGTATTAGGTTGTCTCATAAATAGTGTCGCTTTTTTTCAACCAAAAAATTTTCATCTAAATCCCCATGCTTTTACATCGAGTCATATACCATTCGAAAGAGAATTGTCTGCTCTACAAGATGCTATGTTCTCTTCCACTATGTTCCAGGGTTTTCAAATTTTAGGCCTGCGAAATGGGAGGTCCAGCCGACAAAAATTGACCAAACCGACAACTAGCTCTAACTTTATTTTCCCTGCGGAGAAATCAATCAATGATGTACCCTCTACTTACCTCATAACCTAGACGTGATTCTAACATTCCCTTAGGTTGCCGAAAAAGGTTTGCCCTGTTTCTTTTCGAATTGGCCGACCGATAAGCCATGGCAATTTTCAAATTGAAATTCTTCCTCTGAAACGCTATTGTTTTATATCAACTGGTGTATCTTTTGTGAGCACTTCTTCTGCTCTATTCGCTCATTTGTTTTGTTTTTATGTTTGTTGGAATTAGTTCGAATTTTAGGTGTTTAGGAGTAAGGTGCTTTATCCACGAAAGTGACCGCATTTCTTTGAAAAAAATTATCCCTGAGAAGATGAGAAAATCAACCAGGCGTACATTCCTAACTTAGTCATGACTTGTTCTTTAAATTCTACTAGTTTTTCAATGTCTCGGCTATAAAAAAATTTCGACCTAGATCTCAGGTAATGGTGCTCGACCGTCGAGTTCTGGTTGAAAAACCAGGTCTGGAAATGGAATGACGCGACTTGTTGGGAAACCTAATAGTGTAATGTTTAGAAGAGGTCATGCATAAGTAGAGGGTACATCATTGATTGATTTCTCCCAAGGGAAGATAAAGTTAGAGATAGTTGTCGGTTTGGTCAATTTTTGTCGGCTGGACCTCCCATTTCGCAGGCCTAAAATTTGAAAACCCTGGAACAGAGGTGGAAGAGAACATAGCATCTTGTAGAGCAGACAATTCTCTTTCGAACGAAACGAATTCATTATATAATTATAATAGAAGTGCATAAAAGTGCATTTCTATCTGAGAATTGAAATTTTTATTTCTTTTCAGGAACTTGTTAAAGGACAGGGACCTTAAATGGATGTCGGTATGAAACTGAGGCTTTCGAAGTAGCTGGCTTTTCACAAACAGAGTTCCTCATGAGGAAATGATTTTTGATGACAGTTCCAACGTCCGGCTCTTTGTCTTTAACACATTCACGACAGCGCGGGTTACATGTATCCCGTAATTCCACTGGGACGAGGCTCGTTCTAATTAACTTAAGCCTCCATTTTCACATTCCCGAGTGGTCCATATGTATTATCGGCTGCATAAAATAGTACAATTCTTATAAATAATTAAATTGTTTATAAGTAATGACTACTGATGAAAAATCCTAAGAAAAGTTACGTATGCGCGCACTGAACAGCGGTCGTCAATGTGTTAAGAAAGCTTCGGAGGGTATAGGCAACATTAGGTATAACTCATGTTTATTTCAGAAATTATTATATATACACTCTGGTAAAACATACTGCAGCAAAACGAATGGAAATCATATGCTCATATAAGTATTTGGTTTAAAGCCTTCGAAAGATGAAGCGTAACTATGATGCAATGATGATTCGAATCGTGTTTGTGAAACCGGCACCTGAAATCATCACTCTCGAATTTGAGTGATAAACAATAAACGATGACGATAAGTAATCTTCCGCTGGGGAGAGCTACCCATATGATTTTCTTCGGAATCGTATAGATACAAGAATTGGAATTTATCTGTATAATTTTATTAATTCTACATACTCGTGCTTTTGCCAGGACCCACTATAAAATTCCATACTTCAATAATGTAGCAGAATGATGAGCGAAAGGGAGGATTCGCGGAACCGCACTGGGCCTTAGGGAGTACCAACTAAGTTTATATACCATGCCACCTTGCCCATCCCAGAGCGGTACTGTTGCGGAAGTGACGTGCACTTGATAGAAGTGCGTGGATAAGCTGTTGCCAGCATGCTTTGCTGATATCCAGCGATGTATGTTGGAAGCAGCTTATCCACATAGTTTCTATCAAGTGCACGTCACTTCCGGTGACACGCCCACCCCAACTCACCGATATCGAGTATACCATCAGCGCCGTTTGCTCCTACTAGCCTTGCCTTCTCTGCTTCATTTGACACATTCCTCTTCAACTCAAGGAACAACATATGGAGCTTGAGGGGAGGGAGGGAGAGGGAGGATGGAAGTGTGTTCATCACCAAACCAAAAATGGTAACATTACTTAGAATTGTTCGGAATTCCTTCAAGATGGGCGGAAGTGGTGTGGTGGCAAGTG